TGTGTATATATTAAATTTACTACAGAGGCAACTTTATTCATTGTTTATTTATTTACCCTTCATTTATTATTCATTATTTGCGTCAGTGTATTTCTTTATCTACTTCTTTAAGAATATTGCATTTCCTATCTGTAATATCTATATATTTAGAAGACAAAGGGTTTTATTTACAAAGAAATTTCACCAAATTACATGATTTTCGCTTCAAATGAAAGGTAGTTGGAGCCAAATGTGTTAATCCTTGCTATTATTTATTGGTTTTGTAAAATAAATACTAAATAATAATAATATTTTGAAATCAAAAAAACAAACACTGATCTGCCATATGCATTCATTCTGCATTGTTTCTTCCAACTTTCATTGTCGAAAGTGATGATTATGCAACTTATTATGCATTTTGGAATCACTCATAGTTTCATCAAATGGTAGAGGTAAGTGTGTGAGTGCAAGGTTATAGTCAAGTTTAGAAACACTATAACAGTGAAAACTGCAAACATGAGCATTACCACAAAAAATAGATATCTTATTCACAATGAGGTCTCTATTGTTTTTAAATACAAGGTATGTAAGCCCATATTAAGCTTTGCTACATAATTTTTGCCTCCAATATGCCTGAACTATCATGCTATTTGATCAGCTTACCAGTTCTTGACCCCCAGTGGATTTTGGTATATTTAATTTAGGGCTATGCGCTGAACTCAATGCTTCCTTTAATTCAAACAGTATATTGAAACCAAATATTGTTTCATTTATCCTAAAACACCAGTTAATTGAGTCTGGGACAAAGTCACTGCATTTGAAGACAAAGAAAATATTTAAAATTCTTTGATTTACGAAACAGTTACTTCTATACATTTCTTCTCAGTTACCGTTAAATTTCACTAGTAATTTACATAAATTACACTTATGATAACATTATTGGTCTTATTAAATGTTGTCAAGATTCCTAAGATAGACATCAATAAAAATTAATCTTATCATTTTTTAAGTATATTTTTTTAAATTTTAATCCTATAATCTATCATGGGCAAAAATAATTTTTTCTCAAAGTATAATTACAATTACTTTCTTACCTTAACAAACGTGAGTTTACAATTAATTGAACCATTAGTAATGCGAAGTTCTCCGTATTGATCAACCCAACGCTGACCTCCAAACAAGTTGTGCACACAAGTAGTAACTTTGTTCCATCGGTAATGATCTCCAGTCTTTGGTAATTTTACATTAACCATCCCTAAAAATAACCACTCTGGCATTAGGTATTTAGAAATGAACATGCACCTTTTTTAGATTAGTTCAAATTAAAAAGAGAAATAAGCCAAAGAAAATTCAGATCAATTATACTCAAAATAAATTTATTTTAATACTGTACTAATATTACTTGAATATATTTCTAATTTGAAACCACAAACAGTGGGCTCCCAGCAAATCCCAAGCAATCTAAAAAAAAAATATAGGAATTTTTACTCAGTTTAATACATAAGAATATAAGAAACTTATCGTAGTTTCTTCCCTCTCTCTTGCTCTCTATCATTCTTCTTGCACTAATCCTCTCTTTCAGTACATGAAATACCTAAAAGATTAATAATGAGAGTTTACATACACACAAAAAAGAAAAAATTGCAATTACCTGTGGGTTGAAATTCCATAGATTTTCCCCAAAATTTTGTTTTTATTCTAGCATCTTGCCAGAAGATAAAGTTGCGAGACTCAGCATAACACACACTAACTGGTGGATGATGACTCACCTTGAAAGTTACAAAGTTGCAGTAGTATACCATTAAATTCTGTATCAATTACAAAACGGTAAATTTGATATTTGGTTAAAATATTTTCTTACCTGTTCCGCAATGAATCGAAATCCCTTGTCTTCTCGTATACACTCATAAGTTTCACCTAAAAGAGGATTGAATGGTTTTGAGCCAGCCCGGAAATACGAGGAACCATAGCTCGACACAGCAAAGGCAGCGATATACACCATTCGTTCATATGAATCTTCAAGTTCTGAAGCCTTATCCAAGAGTTCAGAGTACTCCAATTCTTCACACATACGCTGTACATATTATAAAATTAATGCACCAATACATAGGTTATATTTGTGTGAACATATTTATTTTTACATATTAATGATAAAAAAATTTATTTCAAGTCCATGATGCATTTAAACATTGGAATTTTCATTATCTCAAAATCTGCCATTAATTATTATCATAAATAAAGCAAACTAATCATATGAGGTGTATTCTTCATGAAATTTTAATGAAAACTACTAAAAATTAGATGGAACACAAAACAAGAATATTTGTATCAATTAGAGACAATCTTAAGTAAAACACTGAGTTATTTGAGATGAACACACCAAAATACTAGATTTTTTTTTCTCATCCAATGAAAGCCCAAAACCTTTCAGAAAAATGTACATGTAACAAATAAAATCAAAAAATTACATGAGTTATATAATAAAACTTCAAAGGTGTGACTTATAATGATCTCTCAATGAACTCTTCATTTATTGGGCATTGAAACAGTCTCCATAAGTCTTCCCACATTTAACAATATTCATACAGAAGGTGTAATGAAATTCTTCAAAAATTACAAATACAATAATTCTGTCAAAGGTTCTAATTTCTTAAGATGTTTGTAGATCTCTTCATGTCCCTGGTAGAGAGAGTAAATAAAAATGTCAGTAGAAACAAGAGTCACAGAATAATTGCTGAGTCTACAAGAATATTGTGAAGTGAGGAAAATTTGAATAAACAGTCAGGATTAGTATTGATTGGGTAATTTTTCTTCAGTATTAACCTTTATGTAAAGCTATATATTTATAATAAAATTTGCAGTGGTGGGTTAAAAGTCAGTAACTCAGCTGCATTTTTTTTTGTGTTCATGAGTCACTCAAACAAACTTTACTATTTTCAAAAAATTCCTGAAATGAAGTTTACCAGTCATTTCCATTTTTAAATAATTATCCTAATATGTGCGAGTAATAACAAATATACTGGATGTTTTTATTTTGTTATTTCTCAATTTTCTAATAATGGTATAATGATAAAAGGCCACTTATAAAAAGAGGTTTGGGTCCTTGAAGGACAAAAATTGAATATGACTGGAAAATTCAAATAGATGGAAAAAAGAAGTAATAACCCCTATGTACCTTTCTTCCTATAACAAAAAACAATTCACTCATTGATTTAACGAAGCCAAATTAAAAATATTAATTCTGAATACTTTATAAGATCAAAGAGAATAAATGGAAACATACTTGCCATTAGTTGACAACACAGAAAACATTCAGAAAAAAGTTTGCACAAAATAATTAATTTTACTTCGATAAGAGTAAGAAGATAATATTAGCATTAAGATAAAAATAATCATTTTGAAAATTAATGAACATCATACACAACATTTACTACATTACCCAACTGCACCCCAACCCTTTCCTTATATTCAAAATAACTGTAAATGCTATATAAATTGTAGTAACCACACCAAAATGTTCAAAAGTTAACTTTAATAACCGTAAATGTATTACAACCCAAGTATTCACCAAGAAATATTAATATTAAATAAATTAATTTAACAACAATCTACTACAGACTATTTTAGCTGGAATTTTAATGTGTTTTCATAAAACCTTTTGAATTCTGCTTCAAATTTAACAGCCAAATTTAGAATATACATGATTTGCATTGAAACTTCTTGACATTCATGTCAAGAATATAAAATTGAAATAAAAATTGAAAAATTACTATTCATTAGAATGAATTTAATTAGTAAATAGTACATTATTTTTTATATCATGCACAAAATTTATTGTATCAAACTGAGGGCATGCACAATATATATTTTGGGGTCATTCATAAATTACATAATGCAAATTTGGAGCACCCTTCTCCCCCTATAATACACCTATGTGCATGTAAACAACTCCTAAATAATTATGAAATACTAGCAATATTCCTCACCATTTACAATAAGAAAAAATAAATTATTTTACAGTAAAATCAATTTGATTTCATGTATTGTGGTACATATTAAAATTTATTATAATTAAAGATCGATTAAACTGGCATCTCTGACTGCACCTAACAAGAATGGGGCAAGTTTTGATTGAAGGAAGAGCACATAGGCAAGAAAATTTCTGACAAGACGGTTTTATGCTGTCAAACTCCCTCCCCAAATCTTTAGCATTACATAATTTATGTATGACCTCTGTGTATAATGTATTTGTACTTATACCTAACAATATCTTTTCCAAAGAAGTTAAGGTTTCATCAAAATAATCATAGCATTCCTTAAAACTGAAGAATGCTTTGTACATCAATTTTCTTTACAATAAATCCTGTAGTTACAGAATTTATTTGTACTTGTTAGAAAGACTCAGGATGTTTCAAAAGCAGCATCAAAAAAAAAAAAGTCATGCCAGAAATAAACATAAAATTTAAACATTAACATTTAGGTATGCTACAATAATATTAGGATAAGCAAAAAGGTCTCATCAACTTGAATGCATAAATGAACATTTTTTAATATTGCAAATTTTGTTAAAAAACATTTATCCAAAATACAATATCCAGTTTGTTTCTACACATCTTGTTCTTTGATTTTACAGTGGTCTAGCTCTAAATTGCAGACAAGTTCCATGACAAGAGAATTGTTCATATATAAATGGTAAATAATTTATTCTATCTGTGGTTTCTGTGATTTGCCTACTGCCCAGGGTTCCCAATAGAAAAAGTTAATAGGAAGTGGATTTCTATGTCCTAAAAATTAGGAAATACATGTTGCATATGTGGCCAATAAATGAACAATGAATAGCTGAAGGTACCGGAAAGTACTATTTTCCAAGCACGAGTTCTAAAATAGATATTCCTATTCAAGGAATGCAGAGGAAATACTATGTATGTTTAAACTATTTTCTTTTAATAGATATCATTGCAATGATTTGAAAAAATAGGTATTTAAATTTCAAAAATACTTTCCAGACTTCTGAGAAAATATTTTGGAATTTCTATAGTGTCTTGGCAAATGCTAATCAAATTGAAGACTTTAAGTGGCACACCATGATCATAAACATTGAATTCTGGAGTGTTTAATTATGACAAATTCATACGCAATGAAAACTAAAAATTTCAGTACAGCAAGTCAGATTCTTTGAAAAATCATTTAAAAGGAATCAAAATGTATGCTATTTTCAAAAGTAACTATTTCAGGAGGTAGGACAGAGGGATCAGCTGTGGCCACAATAATATAAATTTTCACAATTTTGCTACTGTGGTAAAATGTTGAGAGTTAGTTTTCAAATTTAGTAGTTCCAACATTGTTCTTCGAATGGTTAAGATTGCCATTCTTTATCCTACCAGTCACCAATTTGGAAGGAAAAATGGAGGTGGTGTGAATGAGATACCATTGTTCTTGTTTTTCTTAAGAAGAGGCTGAGATAGTAACTTTAATATACAACTTCATTAATAATAATTTGATTCCGTAAAGCAGCTGAAGGTAGCTCGTATTTTTGGTAGTATTATAACACAACCATAAAACAAATAAATATAGCTTTGATTCATATGGTCACAAATGGGTGTAGTTTATTTTTAAAAAACTCTAGCTATGGCAACCATGTACCCACACATGGGGCTACATAAGTTTCCACTTATGGCTGTATCAAAAAATACCTCCTATACTTTTTATTTTTATGTTCTGAATTACATTGGAATTCTAAAACATTGTGTAACATAATAGACTAGGCTTCCTGCCCAGAGAGCAAGGTAGGGGCATAAGGGAAGCTAAAAACAGCCACCCGAACAAAGAGTACTTCAACAGATCAGAGGGACTTCTAAGAGGGAAGGGGGCTGGTACTGAGTGCAAGGGGCAGCGACGTCTCAGAGCAGCGCGTAAAAGTAATGTACGAGGTCACGTGATACGGCCCTTTATCATGGTGCCCCGCGTAGGGTAACAAATTCGGTTTCCTCGCAGCTAGCCTCGCCCTCACGGGAGAGAGCGGCGCCGCGCCGCCGCAGCCCATCGCCGCCGCCGCAGCCGCTCCCGC